TGATCTTAGTGATCTAGATGGAATATAAATCTGGATGAGATCACTAAGATATGAGGGAGCTTTGTTATTGACACATTTATGACATAATATAGCAATAATTACAACTATAATTGTGTTCAGGTAGGCAGATCGACAAATTATCCGGGACATTTTATCAACGAGAAGTCACGTCCGCCCAGTCTAAAAGAGCACAATTTGTAACAAACACGACGGCGTATTTGCATATAGATATCTAGATCTACACCACTTTACTCAACATCAGCGGAGCTTGGAAAAAGTAAAAACCAGCAACAGCAAAACTATCACACCCACACACACGATAAAACAAAACCCCCAAAAACAACAGCCCCAAAACAACAACCAAAAACAAAACCACCAAACTTCGCTGCACTTGTGCGCACCACTCAATCACAATTAATGAACGTGTTTTTCTAGTTTTCCAAACACGCACTTTGTCTTCAATAACCTGACCTATATCTGACCTATATCTGACCTATATCTGACCTATATAGTTGTCCCGGTGAACGACTCAACTCATCGCCACCTCTCTCCTCTATCACGGAGAACTGACGCCGTGAGCACAGCAACACGAGAGCTTAGGTGCACGTGCATTCTGTGGGTGCTGGGAGGCGGGGCCAACATGGCTGTCTGGTCATTGGGTCTCCAGCACATAACTGTCACAAGCTGGTGTGTCTACCGCGGGTCAAACTGACAAACAGATGAACCCACCAACCCCACACGTCGATACACTAGAAGTAACAAGCTCTACACGACATTTTTGGACGTTAATCGTTACAAGAACCATGAGATCAGACATCAAACATTCCATCTGCTGTATCAAAATCGTAAGATTATTCGGAGACGTTATCAAGATATTCAATATAAGAATTGTATTCGAAAAAGCTTGACATGAAGTGTCGCTCGTTCACCGAGTGGTGGCGACCCATTTGTTTGTTTTACTGTGGCACTTGGTCTTCCTCGTCTGACACATTTGTTTGTTTTACTGTGGCACTTGGTCTTCCTCGTCTGACACATTTGTTTGTTTTACTGTGGCACTTGGTCTTCCTCGTCTGACACAT